TAAAATTGCTTCTTTGGCACTGTTTCTATATAGAGGAGTTTTATACCTGCTAACTTCTGAAGCATGAATTACCATTTATTACATACATTATAATTGTAATTTTAAATATTATGAATATAAATTTCTCAGGCCTCTACTGACTCAACCCTATCTTGGATTTCCAAGTTCAGATTTCTCCAATCAGAAGTTTCCACTCTAAATAATTAACTTATAAATGAAATGTACCTCTTCTGTTTTAAAACATTGGATTGAGTATATACACTAACCCTTCCATCTGTGCCAAATCTCTAGAAATGGTGTGTGTGTGTGTGTGTGTGTTTCAAATTTATAACTGGAATTCAAAATAACAATACATGATGGACCAGAAGCTATGAGGAATCCACCAAAAAATGTAAAACTGCTAAAATCAGATTTAGGAAATAAAACAAAAACTTAAACGTCCAGAGGATAAGACTGCTCCCAAAGTTGGGAGAAGCACCAGATGATCTCCATACCCTAAGAAAGGGAAAACTAGGAATCAGAAAACGTTACTAGGAAAGTAAGGGTGAATCATCAGGATGGGTAAGTGGGGACTTCAGGTATTGTTAGAAAAGTAAACTGATAAGAGTATGTAAAGAATTTAAGGATATTTACCAGAAAAATAAGAAGGGATGGTAGTATGGACTGACTTGTGTCTGATCTATTTGGCAGGCCACAGATCAAGGAGTAATTTTAACCATCAAGTCTTATTGAGAAATGCATTTTGTAAAGGCTATAGCTGCCATAGATGTATCTGGGCAAAGTAAATTGAAAACCTTTAGGTGCCATTAAGAACATTCGTGATTTGGGCCGGCCGAGTGGCGCGATGGTTAAGAACTGGCTTGGGACACCAGAGGGCCCCGGTTCAGATCCCACATATGAGGGACAGTGACACTGCCCCTGCCCTCTACAGCTAAGGTGCTGAGCAACAGCTCAACCTGGAGCTGAGCTGCTGTGAGTCGCTGGCGATGGCGTAGGCTGCAGCCCCTATGGCAGTGGGTTGCCATGGGCTACTGTGTGTAGCCAGCAGCCAGCGTGAGCGGCCAGCAGCCACAGTGAGCAGCCGTCCAGAAGCCGACAACTGATCTGCCTCGCCCGGGAAGAGCGCAATGATAGTGCCAGCTTGTCCTCCACAACTAGACTGAAGAACAAAAAGGCAGCAACTTGTCTGTCCCTCCCCCCAATTCCCCAGCGCTGTTCCCATCCCCCAATTCCCCAATAAAAATCTTTAAAAAAAAAAAAAGAACATTCGTGATTCATTGGAGGAAGTCAAAGTATCAGCATTATCAGGACTTCGGAAGAAGTTGATTCCAGCACTCACGGATGACTTTGAGGGGTTCAAGACTTCAGTGGAGGAAGTAACTGCAGATGTGGTGGAAATAGGATGAGGACTATAATTAGAAGTGGAGCCGGAAGATGTGACTGAATTGCTGCAATCTCATGATGAAACTTGGATGGATGGGGGATGCTTCTTATGAATGAGCCAAGAAAGTAGATTCTTAAGATGGAACCTATTCCTGGAGAAAAAGCTATGGAAAATGACAACAAAGGATTTACAATATTGCATAAACTTAGTTGTTAAAGCAGCATCAGGACTTGAGTGGATTGACTCCAAATTTAAAAGAACTTCTGTGGGTAAAATGCTGTCAAATAGCATCACATGCTACAGATGAGACTACAGTATAGTATAAACATAACTTTTATGTACACTAGGAAACCAATTTTTGTGTAACTCGCTTTATTGCAATATTCACTTTATTGTGGTGGTCTGGAACCACACTCTCAGTGTCCGAGGTATGCCTGTATGTGAATAGTCAGGAGGCCCGCAAGTGTATCACCAAGTAAATAGACTATATAATGTGTTCCAAATGGGGAGAGTAAGAAATGAAAATCTTCATGATATAAACTATCAACTTAAGAACTGTTAAGACTTACCCTCTTCAAATTAGTGACTCCAATTTCATATAACAATTAAAAAATAAAGATGAATTAAGGAAGAATGTGAGAGAGAAAATAATTCCAGAAATAATTTAATAATTCCAGAAAAAAACAGATCTTGTATCCAAAACTTATATTACTGCTAAATACAAAGTACTAACATGAGTAACTCACAAAGAAAACCATATTTGTATGGGTATATTTCTTTTTCTTTGGTTTATATGTCTGTGTACCAGTGTTATATAGTCTTAATGTTAACTAGAGTAAGTCTTAGATGTTCTTGACTTGTTTTTATGTATGCACTTTAAGATCAACTTGTAAGTCCCTTGAAAACCTTGAAAGGATTTTTATTATAATTCCACCGATTTTTACAGATTAATTTGGGTCAGAATTGATACCTTTATTATGTATAGTCTTTCCAGCCACAAATAGGTATATGTCTGTATTTTAATCAGGTTTTCATTTATGTCACTCAGTAATGATTGGTAGTTTCTTCTCAAATGCATTGCATATCTTTTACTTATTTTCAGCGAAGAATCATATACAAATATTGCCAAAGAGAAAATAGAAAAAAGCCACATAACTTATAAATGTAGTATAACCTTAATAGCAGTCAAGGGATTGTTAGCAGTCAAGCCCAAGTAAAGCCATAGACTTTTCTTAATTAAAAAAGATGCATAAGTCTTTAATAAAATACTAGCAAATTGAAAACAATAGTGTATATTTTTAAATTATGCTAATTTTTAATTGACCATAAGGATCTATTATGAAAGTATCATGACACTCTGGATTTATAGACAAAAAACACGTGATTATTTCAATTGATGTTTATTTACATTGCTTCAGTTTTTCATTGTTATAAATAATGCTACATCACCAATCTTGGATGTGGACTGTCATCATTTCCTTAAGAAGATTTCCGAAAAATATATACATGCAAATTTTAAATTCTGATATATTGTTAAAACATGGAATCAGCACTCTTTTTCTATAAAGGGCCAGATAGCAAATATTACAGGCTTATGGGCCAAGAGGAAAAATTGAGGTTATTATAAAGGTACTTGTATATAACAAGAAAGAAATTTCCATAAATCTTTACCGGTGAAATTAAAATATAATAATGGAGTACAATTTTTGTAACACAGGTCTATAAATGTGAATAATGGAATTTTGGGTAGGGAGATAACATTTCAATTAATTAGGGTTGAAAGTTGGTGTTCTTATTATCAAAATCTATTGCAAATGTTCATCTCTTAGTGCTGATCTACGATGTGATGAGACTTTATATATTTTACCTTTGCAAATTTCTTTCCTTATAGATAGGTACTGCCAAATCTTGATACCAATCCATGAGCGTATAGTTGTAATTGAGCATTTATCCAATTAGAAATCATTTTTAGAATTCTGTTAGCTAAAAGACTAGAATGCCTTTTAGCATGTCATTACATTGCAAATTAATTACTTCCAATTAAAGTTCCTCCATTGCACAAATAGATTTGGGAATATGGAAATTTCTTTGCGCTTGCATCAAGGTTGAGAAACACTGTTGTGGATTGAAATCAGAAAATATGTTGCTGGGAATTTGTGTAGAAATGGAAATCTCACTGCTTTTTTAACTTTTAACAGTGCAGGAAGTGTATAACATAGCCTGACATTACTTATAAGTCAAACAATGTTCTCATTCAAATAACTTTATCACAGTATAATTTTCACATATTAGTAATTTTGCCTTATAGTTTTGGGTTGAAACATTTTCAAGTCTGCAGCATAAGCTAATTCCAAAGCCATTCAGAGTTAAATAAGAGCACAGTTCTTCCAACCATTTAAAAATGTAGACACCATTCTAAGTTCAAGGACTGTACAAAAGGCAGGCTGTATTTAGCCATCAGTCATAGGTTACAGACCCCCTGCTCTATAAAGCCTTATATTCTCAGTAAATGTAAGTGCCTGTCTCACCCTAAACTTTGCAACTAGTAAATATTAACTTTAAAATTTTTACTTTTAAATTAAATTTTTTTTCAAATTACATTTATTTGAGTATTAATAAAGTGAAATATCTTTTCATGATGATAGCCTACATATAATTCTTCATTGTAAACTCTTCACATTCTTTTTCCATTTTTACTGCAGTAAAAGTTTTCATTCCAACAATCATTCTGTGTGCCCAACAGAGTTCTAAGTCCTTTTAGTGGCTCTGCGTACTTCTTTAGTTTTATTTTCCACTGACTTCTTCCACACATCCAACACTCCTGTCATATTGAAAGACCTGCCATCGCCTGACAGAACTGTTTCCTCAAGCTTCTCTACATATATGCACTGTTTCTTTCACTCTCTGTCGCCTTTTCTTCCTTTTCCCTCCTAGTGTAACTTTTATTTACAGTTCAAGACTCAAATCAAGGCTCAGTTCCTCCTTTTTAGCTCCAGAGCACTCTGTGCAAATATCTGCCATTAAACCTGTCACACTATTATATAATTAATTACCTGTTGTTTACAGCAGTCTGTCTCCCCGCTGGGTTCAAAGCTTCTTGAGACATGGTATTGTAATGGAACTGTATACTCCATAACACTGAGTAGGCAATGATTTGTTGAGTGAATGAGTTCAAAATAATAGTAGTATGAATAATATTAACAAAGTAGTATGTGCCAGACACATAAATATCAGAGACAGATTTGTGTGGTAGTGTTCCACACAATGGAATTTTGAAGATGCTTTCTCAGATTTTTCTTCATTAAAATCTCACCAAAGAAAATAGCAGTTAAGGTTTTTATTCCCAAACAAAACTGAGTATATCAAACATGTGACTTAAAAACTTGTCTTTTCCCCAAAGACTTAAAATAACTTATTTAAATAATTACCATTAGTTATAACTATGATCTCCATATCAAGAAAATTTGCTTATACTGGAAAAGAAAATACAAAAAAGAATATTAATCGGCTATGTCTGTTCTGTAATCTGAACAATAAGTTCTTTCTTTCAAATCTCCTTTGTAACTTGACCAAGATTCACTTTGGATTAATCTTTTACTTTGCTTTATTTCCAAAGGATATCCATTACCTTGCACTAGATAAGGGTGAATTGGCACTAGCTGAAGTGGCAAGAAAAAGAGCTAGCGACATTGATGCAGAATCAATAACTTCTGGAGTTGGTAAGAATTAATGCTTTTTTTTTTAAGGTGCTTTTGTTTTAACCAATTCTTATTCAGTATCATTTCTATTTATGTTTGTAGGGCATGGTTGGTTACCTTGAATTACTTTCTTTGTAAAGACAGTGTTTAAAAAAAAGTAAAGAATTAAGCCTGGCTAAGTAGTACAATATGAATATATAAGTTGGAATTGTGTTAATATGAAATTTGATAATGATTAATCACTACTTCACAAAAATAAAAAGGGCTTTGTTGTTTTCATAAGATTTTGAAGCTCATTTCCATTAAAATTAACCAACACAGGAACTTACATAATCCTTTATTTATAGACGTAGTAGACATGTCATATCGCAAAAGAATTCTCTCCTGTATCAGAGTACTTCACATGGGATTTTAGGATTGATGGGTGACTTGTTTTCGTTTAGAAGCCACTAGAGTCATTTTATACTGTAGTCTTTCAAAGAAGACAAATAAAAAACCTAACTTGAATCTAAAGGTTCATTCAAAATGTCATAATATAGAAAAATGATAGTTTTTAGAAACTATTGTAATATCAACATGAGTTTCCTTTTTCTAAACTCAGTTTATCTAATGACACTAAATCTGGAAGTAAAGATTTCTGGACATCCCAATTCCTATTCTTCCTGGTATTCACTATTCCTGAATTAGGCAAAGTACCCTCAGAATTGTAATAGATTTCATTTCTTTGTAGAACTTCTATGAAACAAATAAGTTTTAATAAGATTTCTACTTCATAAGTTGCTTGAAAATATAACAAGCCTCTCCATTGATAGATCATCTTGTGCTTTGTTTTTGTAATGCTGTTAAGCGTGTAAACCTCTCAATCTTGTAAATAAGTTCTGCATGAATAAAATACATAAGATCTATTGGGTTGTCGGAAAAGTCATGACGCATTTTTGCAACGAAAAACATAGAAAAAATACGTCATGACTTTTCCGACAACCCAATAGTTTAGTGCATGGGCTTTATGATATATGTTTTGGCTATTTGCAGTTCTTTCTCGTTTTCTATTTTCAACCATGTTTTGTTGAAATGGACAGATAAAGGAGCATTAGAAGAAAATGAGTTGTTGCTGTATATTATGCTCATGTTATTTTACTAGATTTTATATTGCCTATTAAAATACAATAGCTACAGAATTTACAAATCACATACAGTACTATCTAAGGACAATTATACTCTTGCATAAAATGTCACTGACTCATGTACTAAAAACCAGTCAATTGTACACTTTAAAATGATTTAAATGGTTAATTTCGTATTATATAAATTTTATATCAACAAAAAACTCACCCTATATTCAATACAAATTATTTTAAAAGTTACTTGAAAGATAAAAGAATCTAAAGAGATAGAATACTTTAAAAGTAAATTTTGCTTTCATGTAGGATGGAGCACATCAGGATTCTTTCTGAGAAAGAAATCTGGATAAATTTTTTAAAATTATTTGTTCAATTATAAATACATACATGTTTTTAAAATATTCCAAGGGATGTCTCCCCAGTAAGTCTTTATTAGCTCTGTATTTATGGAACAAATTCATCAAATCTGTCAAAATTTTAAAATAGGATGTCTTATTGTATATTAAATTATATACCTTGTCCCAATCAGTAAAACAAAAGGTTGAAATAATAGATGGTGGTTTTAAGTACAAGTACTTCAAAAAGTATCATCTGAACTACATATAAGGCAAGGAACTGATTAAGACATCTGTAATGACTGTAGTTAATAACACTATGTATTTGAAAGTTGCTAGGAGAGTAGATCTTAAAAGTTCTCATCACAAGAAAAAAAAAAACTAAGTATGTGAGGTGGTAGATGTTAACTAGATTTGTTGTGATCATTACACAATATATAAAAATACATATGTATTATATCACATACATATAACATTTTATGTATTATATATGTATACAACGTATGTATACATATACATATATGTATATGTATGTGTATATGTATGTATATGTATTCTCCCTCCCTCCCTCCCTCTCTCTCTCACTCTCTTACTGTCTCTGTTTCTCTCATTTACATGTCTAGGGAGGCCAGAGGTAGACTGAATTTTACCAAAACTACAACCCAGCTTCAATTTAGCTTAATCTCCTACTGGATTAAGGTGATCATTTCTCATTCATTCTGCTTAGCAGAGGAAAAGGAGAATCTTCCTTGGAGGAATATAATATCACTGGAGCCTCTATAATTTTTTAGACTCAAGAATTCAATAAAAAATTGCCAGCAAAGCCAAGAGATAAGGTCATTCCACTGAAAAGGAAGGGAACAGACAGACAATAGAAACAGACTCACAGGTGATCCAGGTATGAGGCATTACTAGACAAGGATCACTGTGATTTGGTTAGTATTTTTGTTTGTTTGGTTGGTTGGTTGGTTGTTTCAAGAACACTGTCTCTCTCAAGTAACCTTAGGAAATAATGGGGTTATTGTAATGACTCCTGTAACTGAGATTGTCACATTCTCCTAACCTCTTTCTCATAAGCTACATTTGATTATTCTCTCAGTGGTGCCTCTACTCTACATATTGCTCCAGTGTCCTTTTAAGACCAGTATACAAAAATTTATCTTAACTTCTATATACATAAAACAAGCTAGAAAATGAAACTAAAAAATATTCCATTTACAATAACAAACTATTCTAAATGCTTAGAAATAAATTAAAGATATGCAAGATTGCTCTCAACTTGGAAAATTGTGAAATACTAAGAAAGTTAAAGACTTAAATAAATGGAAGGATATAGAGCTTTTGGAAGATTCAGTGTTTTAAAGATGTCAGTTCTCCATAAATTGATTTTATAGATTCAGTGCAAACCAGTTAAAGTCCTAAAACAATACTTTTTGTGTAAATTGACAACTGATTGTAAAACGGAAATGAAAATGCAAAGAACCAAGAATAGTCAATTCTGAACAACAACAAAGCTAGAAGACTTACATTACTATTATAGAAAGCCAAACCTTTTACCAACCTACAGTAGTTAAAACAATGATAATGGTGAAAAGAGAGATAGATATGGTATAGTGACCTGATTTATGACAAAAGTGACACTGCAGTGTAGTAGAGAAAGGATAATCTTTTAAATAAATGCTGCTGAGTCATTTGGATATCCATGTGGCTAAAACATAAAATGTAAAAAGCCCAGCCCCAAAGCATATGAAAAAAATAAATTTAGATGTAAATGTGAAAGGTAAAACAAAGATCTTAAAGAAAACACAGGAAATCGCTTAATGATCTTGGGTATTTCAAGCTTTCTTAAACAGGGCACAAAATGTAATAAACATAATGAAAAAAATAGATGAATTGGAGCACACTAATACTAAAAACTTCTCTTCATCAAAAGACATTTTGGGCCAGCTGAGTGGCATGTTGGTTAAGAGCTGGCTTGGGACGCCAGAGGGCCCCGGTTCAGATCCCACATATGAGGGCCAGTGATACTGCCCTCTACAGCTAAGATGCTGAACAACAGCTCAACCTGGAGTTGGGCTGCCATGAGTCACCGGCTACGGCATAGGCTGCAGCCCCTGTTGCAGTGAGTTGCCATGGGCTACCGTGTGTAGCCAGCAGCCGCTGTGAGCGGCCGTCCAGAAGCCGGCGACTGATCTGCCTCGCCCGGGAAGAGCGCAATGATGGTGCCAACTTGGGCCAGTGAAGCAATGTCCTCCACAACTAGACTGAAGAACAAAGGGACAACAACTTGTCTGTCCCCCTTCCCCCAATTCCCCAGCGCTGTTCCTATACCCCAATTCCCCAATAAAAATCTTTAAAAAAATAAAATAAAAAAATAAAACACATATCCAGATTTCCAATAAACATATAAAAAGATCAACTTCATGAGTCGTCAAAAAATATAAATTAAATCTGCAATGTATTAATAATACCACTATATACCCTCCAGGATGAGTAAAATGGTGGCAGGGGATAACAAGTGTTTACAAGGATGGTGATGAACTGGGATTCTTATGTACTGATGATAAAAATACAAATTGTTTCAGCTACTTCAGAGAAATCTTTGGAGGTATCTATTAAAGTTGAATGTATGGGTATGTAGAAATGGATAGGTATATTCACAAAGGACATGTAGAAGAATATATGAACTCCAGGCTAGAACAACTCAAATGTTCATCAGTGACAAAATGAGTAAGTAAATTGTGATATATTTGTGGTATACAGTAGAATAATATAATAGTAATATGGGTATATTTCAAAAACATAATGTTAAGTGAAATAACTCAGATCCCAACCCTCCCAAAAAGAGACTCTAGTAATCATCTCTATATTATTACTTACAGTACATATATTTATGAGATAAGAATGCATGATTTTCTTCCAAGATCAGGTAAGATGATTTGTAGTGTTAGAAATCAGGAGTGTTTATGAGAACAGGGAACAAAGGAGCCTTTTGGGGGTGCTGATAAAATTTGGTTTCATTATCTGTATGCTTGTAATATGGGTGTTTTCACTGAGTTGAACACTTATAGTATGTACACTCCTCCGAATGTATGCTATACTTTAACAGTTACTTTAAAAAGTACACACTCATTTTCCTATGTTAAAAACAAAATATTGCCCTTTAGAAGCAAATATTGCGTTCTATTCATATTCTTTGTTGAAACCACATGCTTTGGGACAGGAGTTTGTGATGACAGCTAAATAACTGCAAAGGCTTTAGAAAAGAGGAAAGGTAGGTAACAAATAAAAACTTATTGTTTGAATTGTTTGATCAACAAATAGATGTGTAAACTCTAAATATATATATTTACCTTTGGATACACCTTGAATCCAAACATACTATATATAAAAGGTCTGACAATTAAGTTCGCAAACTGGTTGCAACGATGTTGCTAACCTTTTTTTGATATGAGAGGGATTATTCATTATGAATTTGTACCAGTTGGACAGTTAACCAAGTTTACTATTTGAAAGTGCTGAAAAGTCTGTGTGAAAAAGTTATATGACCTGAACTTTCACCAAT